TTCTTTTGTCATCATAGACAGTGCGAATATTCTGCACAACAGCAGAAGAACTCACTCTTTCATGCTAGTTTTAGTATAGAGAGTTCAGCAAATCAACAGTTAGAGAAGAACTTAAAATATTATTTTCAAAAGCGCAGAAAGATGTAAAACCGTGACCGTTAGAGTGCGTTTAAAACATTGAACAAACTTTCTTAAAACAGAACTTGGGATAAATCGTCCACTATGATCTTGCTTTAGGACAAGGTTTCGATCAAATGATGGTGGTGCTGCAAATTCTATACAAACAAGACGTGTCTTATTAACAACTAGTACATTTGATTGTCAAAGGATGTTTAGTGTTTCTGATCAACTTGTTGATATGAGTTTCAGTAGTGTTCTCAAACCCTTCGACACTACTTCGGAACCAAAAGTGAGAATCATCTTTAAATTGTAGGTGAAGAATGCTTAGGGAAACATTCGCACAATCATAGACCACTTCATAATATTTATAAGCGTCGATTCGAATTATACTGTCAGACGTTTCACAAGCATAAGTAGTATTTAGTAGCATGTATTTCCATTAATCAATATCTACTGATGGAATTTTTTTCTTTTCAAAAGTAATACGTTTTCGAAATCGATGCGGCTCAGCAGCGTTCATGCTGCTAGAAGATTCTTCGAAAATTTGTTTAAATCACATACAGGCGTCAGAAAAACAACACTGCATCTGGATGTTTGCGTCGCGCACCGTCACCACCACTGAAGCGGATATTAAGAACTGTCAGAAACGGGCATTTCGGTCTGTTAATGCAGTGAATACGTTTGGGAGAAATGCCTTCGACGATGTTCAGCGTAAAGAGCAGAATATAAACCCAGGTCAAAGATGTACGGTGGGAACACACAGAATCCGATGTATTTTCCGCGAATTCCGGTAGAAGGATTCCAAAATCGATTCCGGCCTCCGTTTTCTGATTGCTTTCCATCAATTCTGGAATCCGGAAGCGATCACCGAATGCGGTTCCTGTAATTTATCACGGCGACAGGATACGAGCTATATACCACTGCTTCCGCCCCGGTTCCGATGCCCAGATCCGGTCGTTTTCAATTCAGTTCTGAAGATCGGATCTCGTCACAGGAAACGACATCATACGATTCGGAACCTGCTGGGTGCAGTTGAATGGAATCAATAGCTATTAATCGACAAACTCCTGATGATTGTAGAAAGCACACAACTGAAAGCAGTTGCGAAAGTTTAGATTAAAACATCTTCGCAGAAAATTCTGTAAAAACCGAGCACATACGGAGGGTCCAAATCATAATCGATACAAAAACTACTTTTAATTGGCTCTATTTTAATGCATTAAAATATATTTTTTAGTACGAATAACTGGATTGAAATCGGATTTTTTGAGTCTTTCTGAGACATGGTGTGCCCTATGTATTTGGGTACACCTAGTATTAGAGTTCATTCGGGTGACAGCACGCATACGAATTACATAGATTAAAAATCACTTTTAGGGCATGAATAATTCGATTAAATCGGATTTTGTTGAGTGTTCTTGAGATATTCTGGCTCCTATATATATATCAGTGCAGTACATATTTGAGGCGGCTGAAGTCGCAGAGCGGGTAGCGGTAGCCTGTTAGACATATAGACGTGGGGAACAAAGGAAAATGGGAATCTTTTGTGAATCGCCTTACGAAAAAGTGTTCAGGGATGCATCCATCTATTAAGAAACAGACACACACTGCGACGAAGCTCATGGGAATAGCGTAGGTAAGCGACTCAGTATTTCATTGGAGAGTGCATTAGCAGGGAGCTGTGAGACATAGAAGAATTGTGCCAATAACGTGAATGTCAGAAAGCTTACCCGCACAGTTTCTGAGAAAATCTGAGTCGAACCGTTGCGAGCATCGTAGGGAAGCTGGAATCCAAGCGCAAAAAGAATGTTCAGGAGTTTTATACTGTTTATTCCTGTTACTTGTATCTATAAGTCATAAGTAACACTGCATATGACGCATTGTCGTCTGCTCTTGATACACAAACTACCCCTTCCAACAAAATGCTGGGCATCCCAGCAGTAGTCGTTCCAACTCTTTTTTCGGAAGTTGCATATGCCTTAATAATTTTGGAGACGGTGGCAGCTATTTCAGCGAGAAAGCGCTTTAAACATCTTTTTCAGAGTGTACCTTATCCTTAAGGTCTCTTCGAGACTCCTACAGCTGTTTTAGTAAAACAAGGTCTTTAAGCATCTTTTTGAGACTCTACCTTATTTTTAAAGTAGTTTCGAGACTCCTCGGCTGTTTTAATAAAAAAAGGATGTTTTATGATCGTTCTGAGAATGCATCGTATTTTTAGGATATTTTTCAGACTGAAACCAGAAACTGAACATATTAAGATCGAAAAAGTTCTTTTTGGAACAAGGGTATTGGCTATTGTTCACGGTCGGATACGGTCTGTTTCCGGTGTGGTTCCTGATGAGTACGGTTTTTTCGTTTCCGTGGGGATATGGTGTAGTTTCCGGTGAACGAAAGTTTTGGAATAGAATGGTTCCCGGTACGATGTCTTTCCGGTAGGGATACTGCCACCCAATTCCGGTGATTGTCCCGGCCGGATCTATTGATCGGAATCATCAACCTGGGTTAATATCATGCATAAACAAATCAATTATTCATTATTAATTGAAGCATTGATATTTAGTATAAATTTTACGTGCTAGTTTCAATATTGTATCCTTTCAGCAAGTTGTATCTAAAAACTTTATTCATCGTATATGTGGATCAAATGAAATGGTGTATAATTTTCTCGAAGATAGGAAAATTAGTTATAAACAGATACTAAAATCGATGAAGAACGTGTTAGGCATTGAAGTATGACGACAGTTTATCGTTATAATCGAATGTCTTCTTGAAATAAATAGTTACAATATTATCATTAGAAAAAAGTATTTAAAACGTGGCTACCGATTATTGCAATTGACACTAGAAAGTAAAACTGTCGCTCTCAATCAATAACGGTTTAGGCTTCATCTCACGAAAAAAAACTGACTTTAATTTTGTTTTCTTATTATCTGCATTCATCTGTCACAAATAGAAGGAATGTAGAATTGATTTATTTTTGCTTTACTATACACTATCTAATAAAGTGTTTGTCGGCCATTTTTATATTGTAATCGTATGATTTAGTTTAAATTCTTCTATTTTCTACTGAAATGAACATTGTGAACAAATAAAATGGATGAAAATTAAAAAGAAAATATTAGTCTTCATTGTAAATTTAAATACTTATGACTAGAAAACAAATTATTCTTTTATTTTGGATGAACTCACTTAATAAAACCATGAATTAACCTAATCGACATCGAACTATGGAAAAATAAAGTAGTTTCCAACATTATCATTCATAATAAGAAGAGCAGATGAAGGAAATAGAAAAGAATTTCCATTAATATTTTCTGTGCAGGTACACAGAACAAAGTAGAGAGAAATCGAAATATACCTAGACGAAATTTCTGCTGCTACTGTTTTAGTTTATATTTCTTATTAAGTGCATTTCTTTATATCGATTAGGATAGGCGAACAGAATTGTTCGATTCATCTTTTCTTTTTACATTAAGAGCTAATGGCATAAATTTTATTGCGCTATACAAGAGAAATATTATGATCAAATCTCACCAGACTGTAAATAATATTATGACAATCGCATTTGCATTATCTTCAAAAAGTATTTGTGAACATCAGTCTTTTACTAATACGTGATGATTTTGAAAATGACGTGACCTTCATTGATAATTAACTATTATGATTTTAAAAAAGACGTTTTTCTTGAACAATATTATTGCCTTTTTTATTTTTGTTTATATTATTTACTAGAATAGGTCAACATTGATTAAAATTAATAGATATTGTGTAGCCAGTAACGAACCATCTGTAACATAAATGAAAGGTTTATTTGTTGAGCAATACAAAGCGTGACAATACAGTCTAAAGAATTCGGATATAATGAAATAATTAATATGAATTGCAACATATTCTTGCGTTTTTCTTGAAGCAGAAAACAACAATATGCGAATAAAATCAACATTAATATGCTGTAAAAAATGAAAACTTTTTTCTTATTTTCCAATCGTGATTTTCTTTAGTTGATCAATTCACATCCAGTCGACATCCATCTATTGCGATCAAACAGTCATATTATCAGATGGTATAGACCATAATTCACAAATTCATATATATTAAATATCATATAGTAAGACCACATTCTACTCCAAAACATTCACAGGATTAACTGATCCTGAAATATCTGTTGTATTGAATTAAAAAGGATGGCGATGTCTAATCTATGTTGCATCCATACTTATACCTAATCCAATAATACTCTAAGAGCAATCGCGAGTTAAAGTTCAAGAGAATGACTCTTTTTTATGCTGTTGAGTGCATAAAGATTTCTGAAGTTTCAGCGAATAATTTCCTCGTTCACTATTAGTAAATTCTTGATTTGAGAGGCAGAATATGAAATAGTATCAAGAGTTTCGTAATTTTCACAATTGCTTCATTATCCTCGAAGTTTGATCCAATTTTGTACAAATTACTGATAATTAAATACTTTTCTACCAAGATTGATTATTGTTCGTACTTTGCGATTATGCAAGCATGTAGAAGGAAGTAGATAGAAATCCATAAGCATATTTTGGATATTCTCTTATGTAAGAAACGATGAAATAAAACGTCAACAATAAAGGAAAGGAAGAGAAGTTAAGTAAGTGCATTTTGTTTTTCTCATCCTTCTTTGTCAGATGACAACAATAATTTTATTAGTTCTGTATAATCCAATACTCGTTTGTAGTATAAAATGCGACATTATATAATATTACGACAATAACTATCCTGATATATACAGCAATTGAAAAATGCAACGATCTACTCTGTTGATTCTCATTTTCATCATTACTATCGTTGACGGAAAAAACAAATCAAATGAAACATTTCGAAAAACGGCTTCTTCACACATTGGAACTCTGATGATATTTGATCGATCGGATCGTGCTCAACAACTACGTTTACGACAAGTATTTCGTGATTTAAAAATACATCGAAATGCTATAGTAGCTGATGTCGGTGCCGGTATTGGTTGGCTTACGATACGTCTAGCTAAATTCATCGGTTCGAAAGGCAAAGTATATGCAGAAGATATTGTGTCTCGATATATTTCTTATATCGACAAAGAAATCAAAACACATAAATTGAATAATGTTGAAACAATTCTTGGATCAACAACTGATCCAAAATTACCTAAAAATACATTGGATGCTGTGATTATTTTAAATGCTTATCATGAATTCGAAAAACCGATTACTATGTTGACTAAAATTCGTCTAGCTATGAAAATTGGTGCACGACTTGGCATTTTAGATCGAGATAATGATCAAATGCGAATTGATGCACGTAAAGCCTATGCTACAACAGGATATATATTGCATCGTATCAATGAAACATTGACTGACATTTATTTGACAAGTGATCATTATTTAGCATTGGATATTGTCGTACGAGAAGCAACCTTAATTGGATTTACATTTTTATTTTCTCGTGAACTTGGTGGTGATTATTATATTGCTGTTTTTAGTAATTCGTAATACGTCATTGAACTGATGAAGTTTTTTTTCTTATATACATTGGTATATCACAAATTTATTTTCGACTTTTTGAAAGCCTTGTATAAAGAATATGTTACTGAAAGAAAATGAAGAGAGATGAATAGTATAATCATGCTAAATACTGTTGTCATAAAGCTCTCAAGAAAGAACAGATAAAGATATATGCATTAGCTTTTGCTACTATTTATTGCATGACAGTTTTTTCTCAAGTCCAAAAACGATGAAAACAAAAATCAGAAAATAATATCCAACGTAGTCAACTATTATTTGAACACAGGAAATCATTCAGTAATATCTTTCTTGATATAAAGAAGATTGATATCCAAAGGAAATGCATAACCAATTTATACTCAAACAAATTTAAACTTCCAACCGGATGTACAAAAAAAAAGGCAGCCTTGTCTAGAGATGAGCGAAACTCATGATCTTTCGATTCTGATTTTAAAGAGGTTTTTTGAAAAAAACTTCATAGAACAACGAATAGTTCTTGAAAAAGTTTGGAAATGCCAAGGACGCGATGATTTGCAAAATTCACAAATTTATTCTTCGATTGATCATTCGAAATATTCGAGTGTTGCAGTGTCAACAATTTTTTTTTTCTCAAAAATGATCTTCCGTACAGTATCAAAGTTTCTGATATTTACAAGAATCTTGGAATGTTGCTTCCATGTGCTCTGAATCGGCCAAAAAGTGATAGTAAGCTGGTAGTTTAGAGACGGTAAACCAGAGACTTTTGCACAGCTTGAATGATTCGATTGTCTGTATCCAAACGAATTAAGACTTTTTAACTTTGACTCGCGCTTATTTTAGTCTTAAAACTTTGAAATGAAACAGAATATTTTGTTATACTGTTATAAGACGAAGCCGACTCGAATAGTCTTTATTGCTGGTATATCTCAATAAACTGATAGTTTTGACAGAAAAGTGATGATATGGATTTCCTGCTGTTGCCTTTAACCTTTTGAAACAATATTAAAAAAAAACAAAAAAGTATTTGAATTACACATGAAATGACAGTCTGATGTGCATATGTTGACTGTACCGAAGCTACGCTAGCAAGTGTTTTCAGATAATGCTAATTGATGAGTAAGTTATTTTTAACGAAGAAAAAATATATTAAGATTAGAAAAGTTCGTCGAAACAAAACACAGTTTACAGCGATAAAATTATCTAAAGAAAATAATTGTCAAGTGACTGACGAGGATGATTATCAATAATCTCGACAAGCAAACATCAATCTGCGATTTTATTCAAAATATGAAGCTATTTATGTTTAAAAAAAAAACAGATGACTGAAAATGATATTTTTCTCTATTTCTCTAACTGAAAACTATTATTTCAATGAACTGAGCGAGTTCGAATATGCAAACAAAATTTGAAGAAGGAACATGACGCTTATGTGTGATGAGCCTTGGATTTATCATAAACAAATTGGTCGATAGTCATCAAATACTGCGTGGATGTCAAGAGAAGACTACATGTTCATAAAGATGTATGCAATTTTCTTGAATCGAAAGGTATCACTATAATACCACAGTCACCTAATTCTACTGACCTAGCATCATTTGATTTTTCATTATTCGATTTAATTAAACAGAATCAAATTGATGAAAAAGATGTCGAATTATTGCATGATGCTGTTGCCAAGTTCATCTACTCTTTGAATCAAAAAATAGTATAGAAAAACCTTTGATGAATGAATTCAATGAATGCAGTAGTGTGTGGATAACCAAGATGATCATTTTGAACATTTTATAAAACACCTGTTCGACTTGTTTCTAGATTTCTTTTCTGTTCTGTCACCATTGCTTTTTTACATTCTAATATGTAACGAACGGCTAAGCATAAAAAGAAACGAGAATACATATAGATGATCATGTGATCTAATGTTACAGTCAAGTGTGACATAAAAATTGTTCTTATTATATAAAAAAAACAAAATCACTTCAGAATTTCTGTATGGATACAAAGTAATGACGTCACTACTTTCGAATTACCTTAAGCACCCGAAAATCTGTCAAAGTCCTACAAACTGATTCATCTATAGTTGAAAAAAAAAATATTTATTTCTCTAATATTATTAGAATTGTTGATTTTTGTCATTGATCATTTTGATTTTGTATTACACAAGCCAAAAAAAAACAAACGTTATTAAATAAAACTAATCATTGAATAGCTGTTGTCTCAATCAAACAACATGTATATTTAAATAGATCATAAACATAACTTTTATACGACAATATTGAAATATTATCGTTCTGATCTATTGATAAATTTACAGACAAAAGAAAGAAAGAAAAAAAAAAAAACAGTTTCCTTTTTTAATCAGTAGATGCATCAAGTATTGAATCGTTATGTCCAATATCCCAATAATGTTCAACACCATGACGACGAAAATGTTCTCTTGCAAAATTTTCTGTTGGACATGATTTAAATTTAATTTCACCAAATGAACGTTCTTTCACTGTACCCTAAAATAGTATTAAAAATTTATTAAAACAAAATAATTAAATTTTTTTGTGTTTCTTTTACCTGCCAAAGAAGTACACATTTATTTCTTTCTTTATTTTGTTCTTCATTTCCATCTACATTTTAAAAAAATATATATATATTAAATTATTTTTAAAGAAAAAATATTTAACATACCATCTTCCATATGACTTTTACTTGATGCATTCCATTTTATTCGATGAAGCATTAAACGACGAAATTTCTTTTGTTGTTTTGGTCCTAAACAAAATATGAATGAAATGAATTTTTTTTTTTTTATGTATATAAATGATTATACCTCCTTCAACTACAATTATATTTATATCTTTACAAAGAATAACACAACCCGTCATATGTAATTGTTTACAATTTGTTTCAATTTTAAATCGTTTAGCTGGATCATCGAATTGTCGAACACGATACACAGAAGCATGTACACCAGTTGTCGTATCTTCTGTTGTTCGTTTTGCTTTTTTTTCACGTCGTTGTTCAGCAGATAATTTTCTTGCAGCATTGGTTTCTTCATGAGTTCTGAAATAGGACATGAATGTTTTTTTTTGTTTTTGAACTAATAAAATAAATTTACCTAATGCGTTGTGCCACTTGATTTTGAACATATTGTGCGATTTTTGTTGGATCTTGAACCACATCAGTCGTTAAAATACGCATCATGTTTGAAATTTTTACTAAAGGCAAAAAAAAATAAAGATATATGTAGTTCGAAGATTTACTATTAGACATGAAAACTAAACTGTTCGATTATCGAATAGAAGGGTGTGGTGTGGGTATACATGTGCATAACACTCTAGGCTTTACCCAGATCTATATTCGCATCCACTTTTCTTTCGACCAAATTCACGTTTATCACAAAAAGAAGTTGTCAATCTAGACTTTTATTTCTGAGTAATTTTCATTTCGATTCAATGAAATGGTTTGATTTATTACTTTTTGGTCATAAAAGTCTATTGAACATCTTGTTTTCATATGAATATAAAATAGTCCTTGATAAGAAAGTTGGGGCACGAAATATTCACTCATTTTTCGGCAACTGATAAGAATCAGACCTTTTCATTCTTTCCGAACATGTGTTTTTAGAATTTTCGTCTGCGATTACATTGGACAATTATCATCTAATCGTTTTAAAATAATGGTTGTTGTACGCAACACTATTCTCTTCAATTTTGTTTTGAAATTAAATCCTGTCGAATTCAAACTGTGAAAATACTTTTTAATGGCTTAGTTTTGTTTGCTCGACAAAGGGTGCTATTGACTTTTGCATGAGAGCTTCTTAAAACTTTTACATTTTTAAAACAGCAAGATTCGTAGAAACTAACTCGTTAGCGGAAGCGCATAGATTTTTCCTTGGAAGAAACCTAGTAGAATTTTCTATATCTCAAGAATGAAGACTCCGCATACTAAACTATTCTAGACTTTTTCTATTGCTTCTTAATACCAATTCGCTGGCAAAACGATTCGACATCTGACGAACGTCATATGCTTTTTTAACCAGAACTCAACTGTCTGTATGAAGATTGAGTCCTTCTCTAGTTTTATCCTATTAATATTGAATTATAACGATTTTTACACGACATAAAAAACAGGCTATTATTTAAAGAATTTTGATTGTTAGCAAAATTTAATTTTTCTATAAGATTTAATCATCAATGTTTTTTTGGGGGGGAGTTTTAAAATTCGAAAAACAAAATTTCTCCTTTTTACAAATCGTTTCATTTGATAATTAAATCAATAAATTAGTTTTTCTATATACATATAATTACCTTTTGGTTCTGGTGGTGGCATTAAACCAAGACGAATTTTTTCTTGTTGTTCTTTAAGTACTTCAGCTCGATTTTGACGTCGTAATTTACGTTGTTCATGTTTAGTTAAATGTATTGGTAATAAAACCGGTTTGTTTGGTTCAACTATTAAAATAAAAAATAAAATAAAATTTAATTCCAAATCTATATAACTTACATGGTGGCTTAAGTTGTATGGGATGTTCAATAAGTTGAGTAATACCAGTCAACATCGGTGGAATATTTGCATCTGGAGTAATTACTGAATAACTATATTGAAAAACAAAGAACAGTTCCATAACATTAAAAAACCAGCAGTGTTCAGACTTCCGAAAAAGGAAATTTCGAAAGTTTCGGAGATTTCAAGTATTTGTGTTCGGAATTGCACGTTACTTACAAAAATGATGTAATTTCCGCCATGACGTACTTACAGAAATTTCTGAAATTACAGAAATTTCTAAAATTGCTGAAATTTCCAATATGTCTAAAAACTTTTGATTTGCACTGCTATATAGTAATCGAGCTGACGGAAATTTCAGAAATATAGGTAATTTCCTTTTTTGGAAATCTGAACATACCTCTAAAAAACATAAATATATTAAATCATACTTACTTATTCTGTTGAAGTATAACATAATCCCACCATTCAATATCAGGAACATCAAGTTCAGACTACAAAAAAAAAATATTTTT